GGGGGGGGGGGGGGGGGGGAAGAAAGCACCACCACTTGAGAAGTAAGAGCCTTAGCTCCTTCGAGGGGTATGTCCCAACACGAACTATTGTTGTCTTCACATCGGCAACCTTTACGGTCTCTCAGTACTCCTTATTCCCCGTACTGGCCCAACTGACACGCGGAAGCCTTCCGTGAGTGTTCATAGACCAACCACCAACAAACGATACAATTTGGAATCATCAAAGAGGACGCAGCAAAATCCATCACAGTCGCGATAGCAGAGCGTCGAGACAACCCGGAGGGAAATAGAAAGACCCCAGCCAGCCAGCAGCAGCCAGACGCTGCTGATAAATCGGGACGAAGGACATGCACAAAAAAAAAAATTAGGGCGCATCACCTCCCGCTTGGCACGCCATTACATTCCCTACCTGCTTGCACCGCGAACGCAAAGGTCGCCGGGAGCGGAGTCAGTGGCCACCCGCCGACAGCCCTCGGGGTGACGACGACCTTGGCGTGGTGGATGCCGTTCTCCAGTCTCGACAGCTGGGTCGGCACCTAACACCACCCCGTCAGTCACCAAAAAATCGCGGCAGAGNGGGGGGGGGGGGGGGGGGGGGGGGGGGGGGGGTAGGTAGCGGGGTTAAGGACCAACACTTCGGAGCTGTAACATTGCACCCAACCCACAAAAAACTACCACGATCTAGGTGGACGAGACGGCGAGGAAAATTCATGAAACAGGGTCGAAGCAGGAACAACAAGATGGAGAACAAGACTGAAGACCCGCCGTTTCCTGCATTGTAAGAGGGAAGCAAGGGGACGGAAACAAGAGCAAGAATAGCAAGGGGGTCGGCCCCGCCATGTTTCGCACTAGTGTGGGCGTGTGACAACAAGGCCTAGAGAGGCAGAGGGCAAAAACAACAGAGCACCCCCTCGCGTTCGGCTCGCAGAAAGAATACCGCAACAACAGATATCGCAGAAAGAATACCGCAACAACAGATACCGCAGAAAGAATACCGCAACAACAGATACCGCAGAAAGAATACCACAAGAACTTGCCCACGAAGAACACTTGCAACACGCTCCCGCCCCCGAACCGTGCGTAAGCTGCAGCGCTTGCATCACGTGGACATGGCAGGCGTGCTCACCAACGGAGGTGAAAACCGACTCGGGTTCCGCGCCGAACCAGGTGGGTTTCGGGGTTGACACATACGACACACACTTTCAGGTAAATAAGTGGCCCTTCCTTACCCCGCTTTTTTCCCTCTCTTTTTGCTCCCTGTGTTAAGTGAGAATATGTTTCAAAAGGACAAATATGCCCCCGGTTATGCTGCTACCACTTACTCTCCTTTTCTGGGGGAGAATACTCCAAAAATGTTGTCGAAAACTGAATCGGGTGCCCTGTAGCTTCGCGTGTGTTTTGGCAGTCCATGTGCGATGTACCTTCAAGTCGGGCAGAACGTCGTACCCCAGCCCCATTTCGGCAGTCTTCGGGGGCCACCGCCAGGCGGCATCCCAGCTGCAGGTAACGGCCTCCTTGTTGGAAGCCTGGGCAGACGAGACACAAGACACGGACTCACAGGACGCTAAAACATCAGACACCAAGCATAGGCACGGGAGGCACGCGCGAAGAACGCTTGGACGACACAGAAACGACAACAAAAAAACGACAGGCACGAATCACATATACAGCACTGCATGCGTGTGAAGGCACCAGACAATGCCTTAACCAGTAGAGACACGAAACACACAAAGAACGCACACACAGGTCTACAGCAATAACAACAACAACAACAACAACAACAAGAAAAGAACAAGAACAAGAACAAGAACAACAGCAACAAGAACAAGAACAACAACAAGAACAACAACAACAACAACAACCGAAAAGGCTACCACACCGCAACCGCAACCGCCAAAACCAATCCAGCCACACCAGCCACAAGCTCACATCGAACGTGTCCTTGCCCACCACAAGCTCGCTCCCGCCCTGGTCGTAGAGCCGCAGGTGCAGCCCGGAGATCTCCCCGCCGGCGGCATACGCGCGTCTCACCCCGACCGCGTCGGCGGCCTTGGCCGCCCCCGTCCCCGCCGCCGGCGCGTGTTCCGCTTCCTCGGGGTCCGGCCAGGCGGTGCCGTCGAGGCAGACGACGGCCCGGAAGGGGACCTTGCTAGGCATCACGCGCACCGTGAAGGACGTCGAGGCCACTTGCTTCATGTCCTCTGTTGTTGCAGGGCAAGCATCAGGTGTGCGGGGGTCGGGGCGTGGGGCCGGGATGCATGGATTGGTGGGGTGCATTGTGAAGGACGTTGAGGCCACTTGCTTCCTGTCTTCTGTTGGTGTTTGTGT